TTTCACACTCCATTCTCTTTGAATTGGAGCAGCACAGTCACCCTCGCTGCATTACATACACCCACCTCCTTATTAAAAATAAGATGACCAGTTACAAAGGTTGGGGGTGGGGAAACGAAGAGGACTACTCTGTCTGCCCTAAGCCTCTAAAAACAGCATGACTAGGAGTGTAAACTGCCCCTTTAATAAAGGTAGAACACAGAGGAGTGCTGCTTACAAGTTGGTCTTTGTTTCTTAGCCCTGTTCACAACATAGCTCAGGCTTACAAAAAGTTATTTCCCTGGCCCCTGACAGATCAATACCACCACCCCACCTCATTCACTACTACTGCAGCATCCCCTTTTTATTTTAAAAATATAGTATAAATAAACCTCACTATCTTTCCTAACTTTCTGATCAGCCAGCTGCTTGTCAAAATTGCTCCTTCAGCAATAGCCTTTTCTGGCCTCTGGGATGCCCCCAGGAAGGCCTGCATTTGCTGGAAAATAAGTGACAGAGTGAGTTTGTGCATTCTGGATAGCCCCAGAAAAGCAGAGCCATCTTTGGTTTTGTTGATATGGTTTCTGTCCCTGCTGTATGTACTTGATGCAGACAGTTTAGCATCAAGCGTGCCAGCCATTGGATTGAAATCTAACTCTTGCATATACACCTAGGTTAACTATTTGGCAATTTTGTCTTCTATTCCAGTTAGGGTGACCAGACAACAAGTGTGAAAAATCAGGACAGGAGGTGGTGGTGGGGAATAGGAGCCTATATAAGACAAAGCCCCAAATATCAGCACTGTCCCTATAAAATCAGGACATCTGGTCATTCTAATTCCAGTTTCCTAGTTTATATAGTTCTTTTGCAACTACCGCAGGGTTACAAGTCTTTGGTGCAAGATACCCACTGGAAATTGGCAAAGGTATTTCCCCCCGGGTCAAAGCCTCTAAAATGGGTGACCCTACTACGACATTTTGCAGTGTAATGATAGTCTAACAGTGGTCAGCATGAATCTCTTATAGCCAACAGTTCTTTTGTTTCAAGCGGTTTGAAATAAGTACTACTTTTCTGGTAACACAGTTGACTGTACATAGTAAAGTCTTGATGGGGTGTACTTGTATTGATATAATAAAAAAAATTGCCCAAATAAGTCAATCATGAATTATGGACCAGCTCATCTAAAATCCCATGACAAGCAGTTAATTTTTTTTTAAATAAATGGAACCACCTGTGTCCACTCACTGGACTTTCCCTCATCTAGTTCAAGCAGATTTGCACCAGCATTGGATCAGGAATCTCATTTAGTTTCAGTGGTTCTTCTCCATTCTGCTTCTCGAGTTGATTGCAGAGTTCACACTAATATTTTATCTTCAGCATCATTCACACCTGCCCAAAATAGGACATCATGAGCTCGGATGTATACACTTCTCAATGCAGAGCACATGTCTGGGCACTAGGCTTATTTCTGACCTAGTACTATATGGTATCATGACAGCATCCAGAACCCCCTCATGCACCAATTTCATCTCTACAATCCCTGTATGTTTTGAGGTACCAGGGCTTCTCCCTTCCAAGCCAGCCATTCCATCTAGAATCACTCTAAAGTTCTCTAACTCAATTTTTCATGTTAAGTGACTCAGTACTACCCAAACACAAGTGACCTTTCCAAAACAAAGTCTAACAGACTCCTCTTCCGGCCATTTTGTTGCACTATTTATAGGCATTCTTGAAAGCATTTCCTTGCTCAGGTTACAGGACATGAGTCAGGGCTACAAAAAGTTTTACCATTTCACCTGACACTGCACAACCTATCGTCCCCCCCCATAGCTACTGTCATAACCAGCATGCAAATAGTGATCCATAGTAGTAATCTCAGTCAAAATCCACATACATTTCCTCCTCCACAAAACATTAAGATTAAGAATGAAACCAAAAAAAAGAAAATATCAACTGCTCTGAATTAAAGATCATTCCCAAGACAGAACTTGAATAAAATTCAGTGTACAAGGCATTGGGAGGGGAAAATAAAGCCAGTTGAATTGCTACAAATCCCTACCAGAACCTGGACACTAGTATACTGCTTCATAAAAACAAAATAGGTAGAACCAAGACAAACTTACTAAACTTTTTAAAGACAAAAGCCGGACAATATCAAGAATGAAAGAAAACAACATACCAATTAGGCCTAATTCTCATGTATGAGGTACCTTGTCTACACCTTAAAGTTTTGCTGCCTTAAATATACTGCCATAGTTAAAGCAGTGAACACACCATCATTTAGATAGTTATACAGATATGAAAGCATTGCTGGTATAACTGTTGGAATAAAACTTTAAATATAGACCAAGACGGGCTGCTTTTCACTTTCAAACTCAGAATGCTTCTCCCAATGCAAACTAATTTGTAACTACTTTAAAGCTACCAGAACTTCACAAACTGGCTTTAATGCAACCAAGAATCAGGCCTATAGTTTTAAAGATTATTATTAGAGAGCCAGGAAATTGTAAGCTAAGGTTAAACTGGAGAACATTTAAAGTATGGAAATTCACAATTCAAATATTGCTCCTAGAATAGAGATTTATCACAAGGGAATGGAAGAAAGATTTCATCAAGTTATCAAGAATGAGATGATTTTTCCATTAGCGATGAAAAAAACAACAACTAACTATGCATGACTCTAGGAGATAGGAAAGGCTTCAGAAATAGCATTGGATTACATGGCAACTTGACAATCCAAATTAGACAAGTTGAAATGGAAGATAAAACTCCCAGACATGATTGTTAAGTCTTATCATGGGCAGAGGCTTGATATACTGCATCTGCTGTCTGATACAAGGGGTGGAGGGAGAGACACAGAGGGAAGGGTAGGGAAAGTTTCTTGGCAATGGGTTATGCTTTTCTTCATTTCACAAGAAGGCACTCAACAGTGACCTCTAGTGGCTCCGTAGTGTGAAAGCTAATACCAGCACAGCTTTATTCTCTTGTGGGGTTTATCCTAGTTGCAGTTCAATGAAAGAAACAGATAAAAACTCCAGTCTCTGAAACCCTATCCTGAGGAGAGCATTGCTATATTGCCTTTACCTCTGACATATAGACAAGGAGCTGACTTTTGCACTTTGATAATGCTGCTTCACCATTCCTCATGAATGAGTGTTGCCAGTTTGTATGGGGACAAGACTTGTAAATTTGCATGAAACAAAAAGTAGTAATATTTAAAAAAAACAGTGACAGAAGAGGAAAGAAGGGGCATAAAATAGATTACCTACTTGGGAAGTTATTGAATCATGAGCAAAAAGTAGTTTGACTGTGTGTGAAATGTCAATCTTGCAGAGATTGGGCCTTCCTTCAGTCACTCATTACATTTAAAAGCAGTGTTGCAGGCTCTTTGGCCACGTTGCCAGGACGGACAAAAACAACTCAGCAGACTGTGCTCTTAGATTCTCTATTGACACACAAAGGAGTGCACCCCCTGACCCTACTTGGTACCACTGTAGGCCCACCCCACAGATTTGTGGATTTGCAGGATTAAACCAAATCTGGGAGCTTCACTACACAATACCAGTGCAATGCCATCAACTGTGGTCACACTGCCTGGTGCAGTGATCTTGAGCGGACTACGCGTGTTTGATGTTGAAGTTATCGAATGTCTCAAGGATGGTGGTGGGATCTCAGCTCTGGCTAAGCCTCGACTGGTTCTCCAGCTACTTTAAAATAAATAAATAAACCCTAATAAAGTTTGTATTTTTTCTATGATTTAAAGTAAGATGGTAAAGTCAGTATATTAAAGTAGTTTTCTAAACTAAGTTGAGAAGTTTTGTTGGTTCAGACCCGATTGTACTTACATACCCTGCACTTCGAGAGAGCTGTGATAATGCAAATGGAAACATCAGATTTTAGGTTTCAGAGTAGCAGCCGTGTTAGTCTGTATCCACAAAAAGAACAGGAGTACTTGTGGCACCTTAGAGACTAACAAATTTATTTGAGCATAAGTCTTTCGTGGGCGTGAAGTTTATTGCTCAAATAAATTTAGTTAGTCTCTAAGGTTGCCACAAGTA